AATATATCTTGAATTTCATAGATAGGGGAGTACATTGAGTAGTGTTCTGGGGTTTGTAATGCAGGAAAAGCCCGCGATAAGCCAGCGGCAGGGGGGGGGGGGGGTGGGGGTTCAAAAGTGTTGGCAGTCCTGAGATAGGGGGTGCTTTCAAAGGGAGTGAACAAGCATACGTGTACCCGGCTAAATAACAATTAATGGGGTTGAGGGGGGTGGAGGGGGTTATCGTAACAAAAACTGACGTACCCGAAACTGATTGGAGGCCGTAAACACGATCTTGGCCTCTTTCCATCCGGACCTATCCGTCTGCGATCCCGAGCGTGACCAGACGGGCGGGTTAATCGGGACTTTCCCGCCGTCGTAGGTGATATAGACGTTGAGTGTGCCCATGTTCGTCCTGTTAAGTGGAGAACCCCTGTCGAAGCCATCCCACATGCTGTACCAGAACGAGATCATTGTCATGTCCGTGCCGGCCTCGTTGGCCGGGGAGTCGAAGGGACTGTAGATCCTCGCTTTCTCCCCTGGGTCCCGCCCGTTTGCTTCGGTGTAGAGGAAGTTGCCACCTGGACAAAAATGGGAGGAAAGCAATGATGATGGCGATTGCCACAATGTAGGATTAAATTAACAACATACACATAATGACTTGTGTTTCTAAACAGGCTGTTTGACCACCCACAAGTGACTCAAGAAGTCTTCGGTAAAATAAATTTTAACTAAACAAAATTAAAAAATCAAGCCTCATAGGAAACATCACCTGTTGACATTGATCACTCAATTAGATCTAGATACACTGTCGCTCATTTAGTTGGAATATTTTTGTTTTACCCCAATTTATGTAATTATTTTAAAAATAATTAAAAAATAATAGATCAAGATAATAGTATACATTCTCAGATTTTATTGAATAATAATTGGCCAATGTGTGTTTTGCGTGACTGCTAAAGCATGTGTATGCTACTATGCTTATCAACTAGGGGACCCACGCCATTGAGTCATAAATAACAGTAATGAGGATTCATGCCCCACAAAAGGGCACTAATATAGCACATCGACACGGTTTTGATCCTGGGGCCTCACAGTTACGAGGCCATTGCTTTGTCACTGAACCATGACTGTACGCAGGGGGCAGTTCCCATAAATAAAAACTAAAAAATAAAATGCAATACATTTTTAATAGTTTATTGCATTTTACCCCGGTCCCCAACATAAAAAAAAAATCCTCTGGGCGGCCATGCATTATGGCTCAAGGCATGGGCACACATAGGATTTTTTAGGGGAGGGGAGGGGGGGGGGGGGTTGCCCACCTCCAAAAAAGGTATTATTAACGGGTTTTTCCCAGGGTCTCCTCCCCCCCCCCCCTGGATTCGCCACTGCCTAGGACGGAAAGGGGGCGAAAATCAGTCTGAAAAAAGACGTCATAGAAGATACGTGTTATAACTTGGCGGAAATTTGTATAGTGACCCCTGTTCAAACGTGCAAAAGTATTTGCACGGTATCATAGGAAAGAACACTTCATTGCGGTCAGTTCGACACCATTGACATTTGCGTGCAATGTATTGACGGAGTCGGTTTCGGATTTGAATTTGCAGTGCGAAGGCGGCATTTTGAAGGTCAGGTTAGACGTCGCAGATGACAGAACATAATCTTGGACTATTTAGAGGAATTTGTTAGAACCCTGTAGGATCTAGGATAGTAGAGATAGGAAGGAATAAAGAAAGGCCTTAAAACGGACTAGAAACGGACAAAATGGCGCCTGGACGGTTATGCATGAGTGATTTCAAAAATCAAAGAATTAAGTGACCTTGATGAGATGCTAGAGACTATGTCTATGAAATTTGAAAGGAAATGAGGAAAGGGCATAACTAGTGATATCAAGCACTACGTGCAAAACGAATGCGATTTCCTGACGAAAACAACACGGAAAACACGGAGAAGACTATTAATGGGGCAGAATGTGAACGAAAACAAGGCAATGAAGATATTCGTCATTGCAACGAACGAACAAACAAACAACAAAGAAACAAACGTGTAAACAAGACTCCAAAACAGGGAAAGGCGAAGGGGAATAACCTCCATGACTCGTATTGTTACTTACTGCCTGTTGTATGGTCCCCTGACGGTCCCGTGAACGGGGTCGGGGTCGGCAATCGCCTGACCGACCAATCAAAGTCGTCTTCGTAGTCGTTGGACCATCCGCATCGTTGATTCGATGTCCGATTAGCGTCAAAATTACAATCCTGGCAGCATGCAAGACCTGCACATTTACAAAAAAGTGAATGTCAATGTACATGTACCTTTTTTTGCGAAAGCAGGTACAAAAGTATTTTATATTTAGAACCCATTTAGTACATGTTTTATATGCAAAATGGGTCATATTTTATAGAAGATATGCTTGGAATTATGTCATACATATATATATATATATATATATAGGGAGTCAGTCTTCGAGATATCATCAGTCCAACAATGAAATTATTGATCAGGGTTTTGAAACGTGATGTATCTTTTTTATTCGACATACATCACGTTTTGAAGTGACACCGCTGTCTAGGAACTTCCACAGAAAGTTTGATGCCCGGGTTTTCTTCGAGTGGGTCAGACCACCTGTTATCTTTGATGATGTATGCGGTTCGATATTCGAATAGACAACTTCAGATAAGAGTCAAAGAGCAAACTTAACCTTTGCAGTCATTGCATGCACGTGAAAGCAGAGAAAATAAGAGATACAGAATGGCGAAATGATGAAATACATCGGACCAAAAATAAGAACGTTATAAATGCTTGAAATATGAGTTCGCTTCATTTTTGGGAATTCAAATCTCTGATTTGGTCATCATTTCGGGACGTTTTCATGATCAACTCTCCCATGTGTTTTGTATTAAAATATTATTGTTTTTAATCCTTGGCACCTTTTCCTCTTGGACACTACACTATTTAAGTCCTCTAACAAGAAACTTTGCTCATAAGTAAAGAATTTTAAACAAAGGTACAATTTAGTGATTTTCTTTGTTCGAACAAATGAGAGAGGCTTTATATATCATAATGACATTACCGATTAAACGTATTTGAAAGTTTAATATATGTGATACTATTAAAGTTATAAAAAATGCATTAATTTGCTCATTGCTTCTCCTATTCTATTTAAACTTTCTTAAATGTTCTTTTCGATTTGTATGCTTTCCTTCAGAGCAGTTTCTTATCAAGAATGCATTTCCCATTTAAAGCCAAGTGCGTGGTTCAAAGAACACATAATTCAATGTCAAACTGGTTTTGGAAACGAATTATGATGATACACAGTTTGTAATTCATTTTCTAGCCAAATGTAGTCTTTACCTAAAATATTATCATGTAGTAATAAGCCTTCTCAAGAAATGAATTCCAACTACTTTTCTAACTGCACAGCTGATTTGTTAAAGCTGAACTTTTGGATACTGGTGTGCAAAAACAGCAGGCTTTATTACAGAAAAGTTGGGTATACTGGCAAGGTAGCATTACATCTTAAAAGAACGTTATAAACATATTACAAACAGGTATTATATACATGATTATATATATATTACATATGCATATGTATCCGTGAGAGGGTGTGTGTATGTGGGTGTGTTTGTGTATATATATATATAAGTGCGAGAATAAACTTGTAAAGTACAGCTACGTCTCACGTTCCTAGACCATTTTCTTCACGCCTATATATATATATATATATATATATACACACACAAACACACAAACAAACTTACTGTTACTACTACTACTACTACTACTACTACTACTACTACTACTACTACTACTACTACTACTAATACTACTACTACTACTATTACTACTACTCCTAGTACTACTGCTAGTACTTTGTTTTACTACTTATAATAAAATAATAATAATAATCCCCCAATGACTGTGTTTTGACGCTCCCCTCCAGCTCTGACCGCAAAGGCATATGAAGATTTCTGCGTTTGATGTGATATCTTTTCTCTTCCAGACCTGTCAGAGATATTTGGATATCAGCGTAGTTTTAACAGAATGGTGATACCCTCCCCCCTGTTTTGTTCTCTTCCAAAAAAACCAATGTGACTTATGCGTACAGTAATATCATTATTTAGTTCTAAACTTGCACTAATACCGTAACTATAATTGCAAAGGATAACAGACAAAGTCAATTCACTTCGTATAACTGCCAGAGTACAACAAATTTAATTCATAGCTTTAATTTATTTTGGAAGCGTTCATCACATTTATGAATGCAACCCTCGCGTCGCGAACCCAGAACAAATATAATTATACTTTACCTGCAAGCGCTAACAAAATGGCGACGAAAAACAAATTCATCTTGACGAGAAGTTATTAGGATCCCATAAAACTATCATATGTCCTCAAATACGTGATTCCCTCCAGCATAACCAGATTAAACAAGTATAGTCATGTACAAAGCGTTATCGATAAATCGTGACTGGTCAGAAAACGAACGGAAGATCAAATGAAAACTAAAATTCTAAGTGGGTGACTATCTCGATTTAGTGACGGACTTTAAAACCACTTCACCAGCGATGTGTGAGGTCACAGATTTATATAATACATCGAAAATGCTACCAACAAGAAGAGGAATTAGAAGAAGAACAACATGGACAACATGAACAAAATCAACAAACTTTTTCAAGTTAAACTAAAAAAATGATTTTGGCAGTTTATCAGGGCACAGGACACGTAGGATTAAAAAGAAATTCTTATCTGAAATAAATATTTGCGAAATTATGATAAATGGATAAGCCTGATAAAACCAACGGGTGATAATAAGTGACAGGTTAAAATATACTCGTAAATAGGAGCATCTTTAAAGAAAAACCCCATTTTTTCAATAAAATACAATATTGTTAAGTTCTACTTTGTTTAGTGGTAGTATATATATATATATATATATATATATATATATATGTATATATATATATATATATATATATATATACATATATACGAGCAATTTTACTGATGAGCCTTCTGACGAAACAGTCTGTATAACTCGTACCAATAAAGTGTAACCTTCCAACTCCTATATCTATATACATATATATATATATATATATATATATATATATATATGTAAAACGAGATAATTATGGGATTTAATATATGCACCCTTTTTTTCATATTTCGGAAAGCTTACCATAAATTAATATACCAGTCACGAGAGTAAAACTTCACGTTTTCCTTATCGGACTTTGTGTATAATATTATTTGGACATTATACTCTGTGAACTATACGCATACAAATTGTACACAAAAATTGCTCGTCTATATAGATACAGAGCATCATGATGTATCACCATCACAAGTATTACATTCTGAAGAACCAAATTTCATGAGCTAAAAAAAAGAAATCAATATTGTAAAAAGGTTCTTCGACACTGATTAATGCTTCAATTCCGGTTCCAATACTTTCCAGTGCAATTGCATTATGTAAGTTAACTTTAAAAACAGCTTGCTTATCAAACACTAATTTTCATCATTGTTATTCCACTTATTTTTGGCTGTTCTTAATCTTCTCTTAATCCGTTATTTTGGGTGAAAGTGTAATTATCATTTTACATGCAATTTGTGGTCATAAAGTACATGTATTTTGTTTTATCTACGGTCTCTTTTTCTACGTCTCGGCCTAGGTATCGATTTCGAGACAAAATGCGAACAGATCAAAAGATTTTCTTCTCCTGGTTAAAACTTTGGACTCGTTTCTACAACACTGTTATTTGAAGAAAAAGAGACTTTCACCCAAATAATATAATCACTTTATCAACGCAATTGTATAATCAACCATTTTCAGTTCTATAGTGTATATTTTGTAAGAACATAAAGATAATAAACTGCTTACAAAAGTGATCAATTGATTTGTCTTTGCTTTTCACTTTCTTAAAAGTGGTCGTACATTATTTCAACAATCACCGTTAATTATGATAAAGAAAAAAATGTTTGGGGTTTTAAAGTGACGTTGATAAAACTACCCCCTTTTCTTTGTTTTCCTCTGACTCTTGAGGTGGAGAATCCGAATCATCATCGTATTTCGTCGACAAATCAGTCGGCATCGTCTTCTCAACTTCGCGGATGTCTTCCTCCTTTTGCACCTCCGGTTTCGATTCCACTTCCTTGACCTCTTCGTATTCATTCTGATCTTTCACCACCTCTTTCACGTCTTCGTTCACCGCCTCCTTCACCTCTTCATCTTTCACTTTATCTTCTGAACCAGAAGGCTTGTCAGTAACGTTTTCGTAGTCGGGTGCTTTTACGTCCTTTTCCCCGGTAGTCTCTCCCGATCCGCATGGTGACTCTTCAGCTTCCTCGACATCCTTCTTCTCCGACGTCGATGGACCCACTTCATTCTTGCCTTCGTCGTCCGGGTCATCCGGGTCGTATGTGGTATTGATGTATGCATTTGACTTTCCATCCTCGACATCGAGGTCCTTCACGCCCTCGATGGCCTCTGCTTTCCGTCGGAAGCCGTCGTTCTTGATGCACGTGGCCGTGAACCAGGCGGCGGTGGCGATCAGGATGAAGGACCCGATGCAACTACCGATAATGACGGGGATCATCTCGGGGTCGACGCCATCGATTCGGATGTCGATCGGCTCGGGAGGGTTGACAGGCTCGAGGGGTTCAATCGTTGGAATCTCTAGATGTATGTAATGAGAAGAACAATTGGGTTAGTATACCACGAATACAAGAGAGAGAGGGGAGATGGAGAATGGGATGAGGAGGAAAGGAAGCAAAGATATATATATATATATAGAGAGAGAGAGAGAGAGAGAGAGAGAGAGAGAGCGCGAGAGAGAGATAGATAGAGAGATAGAGAGAGAGAGAGAGAAAAGATGTATCACTTGACATTGCATTTCGGCCCATGGACAATACACGATACGTGTCGACTTTATTACTAAGCTGGATCATGATCACGCTTTTGAGGCCCAGGTGTAATAACTTGAAATATAACTTAGGAATTCTTACCAACTTAATTACCACACAAGAGTTCTATTCATGCATCCATAATTATTCTAAAAGTCTGTTATTAATTTGGAAAGATTAATGATATAATATATAACATTTGAATGGAGTCTATAGACATTTAGTGTTACAAATTATTATATCGACCTAAACAAATAATAATGGTAAACAAATCATACGACAATCCAAGAATAAAAAACAATATAGACAAACTAAGTTTTTTGTTAGGAATTCATCAGCGTCCTGCTGATTCGTTCTTGTTAAAGATTTAATTATGCACTGGAAACAGAAATGAAATATGGGACTGCAAACACATGTTACAATCCTGTTTAATCTAAACTTTTCGGGTATCTTCAGGTGCGTTTCTTCGACGATACTCTTCCAGTCTGGAATGAAAAAAGTCATACATACTTGTTCACCTTAACTAGAAATAAGCTTCTCTCTTTAAAATTAATATTTTAAAGCCCCACTGCACTACTTATAGCTACTTGCGCCCTCTATATAGCAAACAATGCCTAATCGGTGACCATTGGTCTCCTATGGTCCCTTTTTTCTTATGTTAATTGAGAGCTGATTTGATGAGATAACCACCTGTCAGTTACCTTGCAGGGAGGTCTAATCCCCTGGCCAAACTAGTGCGGATGGGCTTTAAAAGAAACTTACTTTCCTGGCAAGTAGAGCCCTGGTAGCCCTCGGGGCACAAGCACTCGTAACCACCGTTTCCAATCTCGTGGCAAATATGTCCCTCATGGCAGGTTTTATTTATGCAGAAATCAATATCTGTTGTATATGTATGACAAAAAGGACACTGATTTTTTGAAATGTTGTTATTTTACGCGAAATAACCAAATACAACTTGTACGGTAGAAGGAAGAAATAAAAAGTTAAAGGTTACCTTGGCTAGCGTCCGATAGTTCGGTCTTGATTACAGAAGCTATGACATCATAAAAATTCATAATTTCTCAATTTTTCTTCATTTTCCGAAAGACATAGGAAATCGGAAATTGAGATGGTCATACCTCAGCCAATACTTAACATATTCAATAGGTTTTCGACATTTGGACATTATTTCTGATGCTTTTTCGGAAAGTGAAGAAAAAAATTGAGAAATGTTAAAAATATATTTTTGATGACGTCACACTTCACCACTCTATATCATCATTTATGTTATTGCATTGTGGAATGATAATCAAATTGTACCTATACTATTAGCGGAGTTGTAGTTCTTGCTGCTGCTGTTCCGACTAAACTAATTTTGTTGTTGTGAGTAAAGTTGTTTTGGTTTATAATAATGGGTACTGCTATAGGGAAGAATAAGTACAACGATGTATATTAGGCCTACGAAATTCACTATGATGTTTCATCAATAGTATTCTGTCAAATTAAAATGTTAGTGACCATAACAATTGCTACAACAACAGTGTCTCCCAAAGTATGCCAAGTGCTACGATCTAAAAGCCTATCGCTACATTTCTCTGTAATTTACTATTCCATTGATATACTCCAAGCAGAATTACGAGGACTTCATTTCGACTTTTTTTACGATGTTTACGAAAAATATTTGTTTCCCATAATCTATGCAATGCTTACTACGATAAATGCGATGTTTACTACCGTGTATACGATGTTTGCTACGATGCGTACGATATTACTTACGATGGGTAGCACCTTGATTTCTCACCTGTTTCGCAATTCTGACCTGTCCAGCCGAATGTGCAGCCGCAGTAATATTGAGAATTCGCTTGGGGATTACATGAACCTCCATTGAGACAAGGATTGCTTCCACATACGTCGGTAGCTGTTGATTTGGATGAAGGTCAAAACAAATACAAATATATGAAAAAAGTGAAAACAAAACTAACAACAACAAACACATGACACATCTCCTGTAACTGCTGGTCGGTGTCCCGGCATAATGCTCCAGGAATGAATATCCGGGCTTTAAGTCGTCAAACATATAGCATTATAGGGTCAGGGTTTGCAATTCGGTCTTTAGTTAGATTTGGGAATGCACTAAGGGTGTAATAAAGTGTTAGGTCCAGGGTTGAAGTTAGAATTGGGTTAGTCTATGAAACTGGCCACGGAGCAATTAAAGCCGGATAATATGTCGTACAATATACCGCTTATTGAGCAGCATTGTGAATTAAATGTCTGATACACCACAATCCCACCCGACCCATTCCTGCCTGTTCAGTGTAATATCTTACATTGTTCAGTCTGGTGTCGGTGGTGTTGGTGAAACAATAGTAGGGTATACCAAATATTTGTTTCATCAGAAAAGATAGAAAACACTAACAAACATACAGACAAAGAAACAAAGAAACAAAGAAACGCACAATTTCTTTTTCACTACTCACCAAAGCAACCTTCACTTAGGGAAATGTCGTCGAACGCGATATCACCCAAATTTCCATCGCCACGTGATCCAATAAATGAAATCTAGCACAAAAAAAGAAGATTTTTTGTTGTTGGTAGAAACAACAACAAAATCAAGAGCATGACGATGTCCCGAAATTTAATTGCTCCTGCGACAATGGCTCCGGGCATCATTTCGGTAAATGGTTAGGGTTAGGGTTAGGGTAAGGTATATCAGTCCTGTTTAGACGGAGGCAAGTTACCCTGGGGTAAAGGTCGTGTTAAGAGCTAGTCGGGGTAAATATGGTGAGGTAGGTGTAAAGGTCGGAGTAAGGACCGTCTGAACGATGATTGTGTTAGCTACGCCTACCTTTACCCCGACCTATTTACTCTTGGATGTTTCCAGAAGTAACTAGCTAACACGACTAGAGGGTAGCGTAAGTTGACCGTTTGGATGCTCTCACTTACACCCGGGAGTATATATTACCTTTCACTAGCCATCTATACACAGAGTTTGGCCAACTTAGTTTTACTGGGTCACAACATGGCGTATATATTCGGGTTGTGCGCTTGGTTCGATGAATCGTTTTTTGTTAAAGTTCAAGGGTAAATCTATCTAGCAAGACATTCACCCAGTAGTTATGTTTCACATGTAATAATATCGTTATTAGTTTGTAAATTTGTATAATTCCACCTTATATGTTGTCTTACATTATTTAGTTTTTCTTTTTTTATATCAAATAACCATCTTAATTAGGTATGTTTTCTTCATTTAATTTCGTTATATTACTCACGTTGATTAAACACTATATAAATGTATTTTATCATTATTATTATTATTGCTATCATCATTCTCATTTTCAGTATCATAATCAATATTACTGTTATTATGATAATTATGCTTATTATTCTCTTTTTAATAAAAATTATTATTATTATCATTATTATTATCATTAATACTATCATTCGATGTTGTGGTGTTGGCCGATCAGATCACGGGAATAAGCACGGTCAATCTGCATGGCTCATCGTCAAAGAAACTAAGTTAAATCTTTTGTCAACTCCGGTTGTTGCTACGGCAGGCAGTCAGTGAAAACGAATTCGTTTAATCAAATTATGGAAATGCAAGCATTACTTTAAACAAACAGAACTTTGTTATTCCTGGCTCATTTTTCCCGATTGAGGTGTCATATGAAATATGCATCATATGAGTTGCATCACATGAAAGAGGTGGATCTAAGCTTTACAAATATGTGTCATTTATTAATTATAATTGTGATTATAAAGTTATGATAAAACATCGATAATTCTCGGTTTCGTTTTTTCTCAGACGCACTGTATAACAAATCCCCAAAATGAGTAAACAGAACAGTTGATATTCGACTTAGAAGGCTCGAACCCCTCCTATTGACGAAATGCTCGTACGCCTATGATTACACTGCTCCATCCTGAATTTTCCTTTGAGTAGGTTGAAATGTACATGAAATTCCTTTTTTTAAGGGGGGGGGGGGAATTGGTGCTAATTTGAAATAGAAACCTATGAAATTACAATTAAGGACACAATCTACCACTCGCTCGCGTTGCCTACTTTCTGGTATTGTTACGCAGATGATTTCATTGTTTACTCCGGGCGCAATAATACCTACACTGTAGATAAATCATTACCAACAAACAAAGAAACAAATAACAGGTGAAGTACTCACGGTGTAATATCCCAGGCTCTCGGGAATGGATACGTTGAAGTGCTTCCACGTATCAGTGAGGTTGCTTTGGCCACGTACTACAATATAGTAGGTAATTGTAGTATAGCTATATGAAATAGCCATTAAGAGCTCACCAACATTGTCCCCAAAAGCGTGGTAGTAGAAGTCGACGTTACAAGGTATTCTTTCCTTGAAGAACTCGACGGATTTCAAGATAGCAGTATCTTGATCATTTTTGCGTGTCGTTTCGATGTACATATAGTGCCCTAATAAGGAAACACAGTTATTGCAGATAATTGTAAAAATGTTGTATGCATATCTCTGTATAATCATTTCTTGCAATTGCTATCCTATATCATGATCATGATCATGATAATTGTAGTAACACCACTAATGATTATTATAATAAATATAGTGACTAAATACATTTTCAGAGACCTCACAGATAGGACTTGTATGACAAACCAATAAATAATCATATTACAAATATCAAAGTTTTCTTTTTAAACGTATAGAGATTCGTTAATTGAATCTGCGATAACTGTACTTGTCGTACAAAAGAAACATTAAAAGAGTCTACCCACATGTCTCCGGTATTAAAATAGTATAGAGAAGTATCGGTTTTAAATATGGCTCTCTTTATAGGTTAAAGTAGGGAGTAGACCACACTGCAAGGTCACTGGACAGGTAGCTATCCCATCAACTCAGCTCTCAATTAACATAATAAAAAGAGGATCATGGGGGACCAAGGTCACCGATTAGGCATTGTTTTCTACATAGAGGGAGCAAGTAGCTACAAGTAGGACAGTGTGGCTTTAAGAATATTTTAAAACATGATGAGTGAAAATTGTTTAACATGTTGTATATTCTTCCAATCACACAAGATACTGCCGTAGACTTTTTTTCAAAGGACAAGCGTGTTTACTCATGCGAAACTTGTCCGTCTAAAGAAGGACATTCACTGTCCTTCGATATCGGGTGTGTTCCTGAAAGTGCGCTTACCTGTATCGTTCATGAGGGTGTGATCAGTAAGTGGTCCAGTGTCAAGAGAGGGCGTTTCACCAGAGTGTCTCGTCCAGTCGAAGTCGTCTTCGATGTCCTCTTGGTAAAAGAAACACAGATCACCCATCTCACTGCTCTCAAAGTTACACGTGTTGGGGATTTCTGTGAATAGAATGAACGGTTAAAGCCATGCACATAGTATTAAGTGTCCATGTGTAGTGCATCATAATTCGCAGACACCTGATGTAATTCCATTACCAATTTTTGTATATAACTTTTCTTTCTCCCTCTTTGGGCTAATATTTCTCAGTTTTGAATACTTAAATAATAGTTTTGTTTTCATTAAACTTTTTTTTTCAAACGGTAACAAAAAGAGGGCAATACAATTTTTTTTTTTTTCGCCTCAGCCTTATATTTTACCATATTACTAAGATTATTTTTAGAATATCGGTTTCAAGAGCAAGAAGTAGAATAAATCCCATGGTCGGAAGGGAACAAATTTTGTTTTGTAAAGGATGCGGACACAAGAAATGCAATATTTGTGGTTAGAAATATAATGGAGAGAGCAGTCGAAATGCAAAAGGATGTGTACATGTGTTTCATTGTTTATTCAAAGGCTTTCGATAGAGTAAAACATGAGCTTAAAAGGCATTCTTTCTGTATTTATCTTCTGAATAGATTTTCAAGGTTTTGTTGTTGTTGACTTATTGTCTCAATCAATGAATCTGTTATTCTGGAACAATGGAATATAACTTACTGGGTTGTCTGACCATTACGTCGTCAATACCGATGTCAGATCTTTCTCCTTTACCTATGACACCTTCAAATACAATCTGAGGAAAGAAGGAAGAGACAAAGAAGGAAACTAAAAGTAGAATAAGGAAGAACATGTAGGAACAAACACACAATCTGGGCAAGGAGGAGGAGGACAACGACGAAGAAGAGGAGGGAGGAGATGAAGTGGAAGAAAAGAGGGAAGACGCGAGAAAAGAGGAGGGCGGGAAACAATCGAGGAAGGAGGAGTAGAAGGAGGAGGAAGAATGAAGAGGAAAAGGAGGAAGAGGAGAAGAATCAGAGGAGGGAGTAGTAGAATGAGTGGAAGTAGGGGAGCGAGGAGGAAAGGAAGAGGGGAAGAGGGATGAGGAGGATGAGTGGGGAAGGGATGAGGAGGAAGAGTGGGGAAGAGAGAAAAAGGGGATGAATTAGAGGAGGGAGGTGTAGGAGGAGGGGAAGAGGAAGAAGGGAGGAGGTGGAAGAGAGGGGGGGGGGGGATGAGGATGGAGGAGTACAACGAGAATGAAGAGGATAAGAATATACTTAAACTTAATAAACGGCATGGTACATTATTCACTCATACGTTATCATTATAATTAAACTAGTAGTTTTCACCCTCACTAAGAAACATGACATCGTGAAATATTGTAGGTTTAGAAAGAAGACAATAACATATCGCGAATAATGTTTATCTATTCACAGAGAGAGAGAGAAAGAGAGAGAGATAGAGAGAGAGAGAGAGAGAGAGAGAGAGAGAGAGAGTGAGAGAACCCGAGCGTGCGCGCGCGATATTCATAGGAGTATTGTAGCAAAAGTGGGTGTATAAAATTTGACTTTTCACTCGGAGATTTCTTTAAAAAGCGTGTTTTGTTTTTCTCTCTCTCTCTTTGGATTCATGAGGAATTAAAAAAGGGGGTTATAAAATAACAAAAAGGGTGTGTTTCTCTCTCTCTCTCTCTCTTTGGATTCATGAGGAATTAAAAAAAAGGGGGTTATAAAATATCAAAAAGAGTGTCTTTTTTCTCTCTCTCTCTCGTAGACTTCTGAATATTTTAATGGGTGGGTTATAAAATATATCTTGAATTTCAAAGATAGGGGAGTACATTGAGTAGTGCTCCGGACTTAGAGGGGTTTGTAATGCAGGAAAAACCTGGCTAAATAACAATTAATGGGGGTGAGGGGGGTGGAGACAAAAACTGACGTACCCGAAACTGATTAGGGGCCGTAAACATGATCTTGGCCTCTTTCCATCCGGACCTATCTGTCTGCGATCCCGAGCGTGACCAGACGGGCGGGTTTATCGGGACTTTCCCGCCGTCGTAGGTGATATAGACGTTGAGTGTGCCCATGTTCGTCCTGTTAAGCGGAGAACCCCTGTCGAAGCCATCCCACATGCTGTACCAGAACGAGATCATCGTCATGTCCGTGCCAACCTCGTTGGCCGGGGAGTCGAAGGGACTGTAGATCCTCGCTTTCTCTCCAGGGTTCCGCCCGCTTGCTTCGGTGTAGAGGAAGTTGCCACCTGGACAAAAATGGGAGGAAAGCGATGATGATGGTGATTGTCACAATGTACGTGTGTTTCAAATCAGAAATAAATTGTAGGATTAAATTAACAACATACACATGATGATTTGTGTTTCTAAACAGGCTGTTGGACCACCCACAAGTGACTCAAGAAGTATTCAGTAAAAGAAATTTTAAATAAACAAAATTACAAAATCAAGCCTCATAGGAAACATCATCTATTGACATTGATCACTCAGTTCAATTAGATATAGATACACTGTCGGTCATATAGTTGGAATATTTTAGTTTTACCCCAATATATGGAATTATTTTTTAAAATAATTTAAAAATAATAGATCTAGATACTAGTATACATTCTCAGATTTTATTGAATAATAATTGGCCAATGTGTGTTTTCCGTGAATGCTAAAGCATTTGTATGCTACTATGCTTATCAACTAGGGAACCCACGCCCTTAAGTCGTAAATGACAGTAATGAGGATAAATGCCCCACAAAAGGGCACTAATATAGAAAATCGACACGGGTTTGATCCTGGGGCCTCACAGTTACGAGGCCATTGCTTTGTCACTGAACCATGACTGTACGCAGTGGGGGGAGGCAGTTTCCATAAATAAAAAATAAAAAATAAAATGCAATCCATTTTTAATAAGTTAATGGTAAGGATACTGTAGACGACGACCATCGTAGAGCAGAATTGAAATCACTTATGATTGTCTTTTCAAAGAATGTAGAACGTTTAAATAATGTAATAATATGATATTAGGACCAGGCGCGGATCCAGGATTTCTTAGGGGGGGGGGGGAGGGGCAAATTTGAAATCATTTTGAAATTTAGTGTGCTGAAATTTGAAAATCTTTTTTTTTTTTTGGCTCCCGAAAATTGAAAAATCGCATCCCCCCCCCCTTGAGCGTCAGGGGGGGGGGGGGGGGAGGTTGCCCATCTCCAAAAAAAGGTATCATTAACAGTTTTTTTTCCCAGGGTCTCCTCCCTCCGCCCCTTCCCCCCCACCCCCCCCCCCCCCCCCTAGGACAGAAAGGGGACGAAAATCAGTCTGAAAAAAGACGTCATAGCTGATACGTGTTATAACTTGGCGGAAATTTGTATAGTGACCCCTGTTCAAACGCATTTTACTCAAATATTTTTGTGATAACATGTAACGTATTTGCACGGTATCATACGAAAGAACACTTCATTGCGGTAAGTTCGACACCATTGACAGGCTGTTACGTAATGCATAACAAATTAATCATTTTGGGGCAATAATTTTGCGCTGACGTCATCAAATTTTACCAAACTTAGCAGAAAATTGTCACATGTTTTGATACATGTGTATGCTAAGTTTTATTGACGTAGGTAGATCGTCATTTTAGAGCAAGTTGAAGTAATTTCACAATTTTCTTGAAAATTGCGAATTTGGAGGGCAATTTTTTCAAATTTGGTCAGCGTTAGGTATATCATTTTTTATTTGGCTGGAAAGGGCATATCTTGAAGTATCTAAATCCAAAAAAGGGTATTTGTTTGCATATTCCGTTTGGAGCGTTAATTTAGCATGGCTTTGTGCAATTATGAGATAAAGATACTGCGAGAAATCGAGACGAAACGGAAATGGTATGAGAAAGTTATGACAATTTCAGATTTTGAAGGGTTCCATTTTTCAATTTCTTTTAGAGATTTTTGACGGAGTCGGTTTCGGATTTGAATTTGCAGTGCGAAGGCGACATTTTGAAGGTCAGGTTAGACGTCGCAGATGAAAGAACATAATCTTGGACAATTTAGAGGAATTTGTTAGAACCCTGTAGAATCTAGGATAGTAGAGATAGGAAAGAAGAAATTAAGGCCTTAAAACGTACCAGAAACGGACAAAATGGCGCCTGGACGGTTATGCATGAGTGATTTCTAAAATCGAAGAAGTTAGTGACCTTGATGAGATGCTAGAGACTATGTCTATGAAATGTTAAAGGAAACGGACGTGAGAAAAGGGCATTACTAGTGAAATCAAGCATTACGTGCAAAACGAATGCGATTTCCTGACGAAAACAACACGGAAAACACGGAGAAGAATATTAATGGGGCAGAATGTGAACGAAAACAAGGCAATGAAGACATTCGTCATTGCAACAAACAAACAAACAAATAACAAAGAATCAAACGTGTAAACAAGACTCCAAAACAGGGAAAGGCGAAGGGGAATAACCTCCATGACTCATATTGTTACTTACTGCCTGTTGTATGGTCCCCTGACGGTCCCGTGAACGGGGTCGGGGTTGGCAATCGCCTGACAGACCAATCAAAGTCGTCTTCGTAGGCGTTGGACCATCCGCATCGTTGATTCGATGTACGATTAGCGTCAAAATTACAATCCTGGCAGCATGCAAGACCTGCAAATTTACAAAAAAAGTGAATGTCAATGTTCATGCACCTTTTTGCGAAAGCAGGTACAAAAGTATTTTATATTCAGAACCCATTTAGTACATGTTTAATATGCAAAATGGGTCATATTTTATAGATGATATGCTTGGAATTATGTCATACATGTATATATATATATATATATATAGGGTGTCAGTCTTCGATCAGTCCAACCATGACATTATTGATTAGGGTTTTGAAACGTGATGTATCTTTTTTATTCGACGTACATCACGTTATGAAGTGACACCGCTGTCTAGGAAATTCCTCGGAAAGTTTGATGCCCGGGTTTTCTTCGAGTAGGTCAGACCACCTGTTATCTTTGATGATGTATGCGGTTCGATATTCGAATAGACAACTTCAGATAAGAGTCAAAGAGCAAACTTAACCTTTGCAGTCATTGCATGCGCGTGAAAGCAGAAAAAAATAAGAGATACAGAATGGCGAAATGATGAAATACATCGGACCAAAAATAAGAACGTTATAAATGGTTGAAATATGAGTTCACTTAATCCAATTTGGTCAGTACGTTGGGACGTTTTCATGGTCAACTCTCCAATTTGTCGTATACTAAAATGTGATTGTTTTTTCTTCTCCCTGGCACTTTTTTTAATTATCTTGGACACTACACTGTTTACATCCTCTAACATGATACTACGCTCACAAGTAATGAATTGTAAAAAAAAGTACAATTTAGTGAATTTCTTTTGTTCGAAAAAATGAAAGTTCAATATGATACTGTTACTACAGCTGTCATAAATGTATTAATTTTCTCATTGCATCTCCTATTCTGTTCAAACTATCATTGCCTGGTATAAAATGTATTAATAGTTGCTGATGAGCCTTCGGGTGAAACAAACAATACGTACTAATAAAGTTGAACCTTTTCAACCTATATATTCACATTTGCTCCTACAGTTGAGCACTGTCAGAAATTGCAGTTTTACTAAACTCGCTTATATATATATACATGTATATAATATATTTAAAACAATTGAATACAAATCCTTGAGAGAGTTGTCTTCTTTACTATGAATACTAGCAGTAATACTTCTACTACTACTACTACTACTACTACTACTACTACTACTACTACTACTACTACTACTACTAACCCTTCATTACCACTACCACTACTACTACCACTACTACTGTTACTGCTACTACTACTACAACTTCAACTACTACTAGTACACATAATAATGTGCCCCATGATTGCCAGTGTTTTGACATTCCCCTCATGCTTCGACCGCAAAGGCATCTAAATATTTCGTTTTTATGACGTGATATCTTTCCTCTTCATGTCAGAGATATTTGGAGATCAAGGTAGTTCTAACCACACGGCGATACAGGTACCTCTTTCCCCCAGTTCCCGTCCTTCCATAATACCAATGTGACTTATGTGTACAGTAATCGCTATATTTTGTTCTAAACTTGCACTAATACCGTTACTATAGTTGCAAAATCTGGCACACAAAGTCCACTCACTTTATTTAAGTCTCAGAGTACACCAAATTTAATTCATAGATTTAATTCACTAAAGAAGCGTTCACCACGTTTATAAATGCGTCGCGAACCCAGAAAAATACTTTACCTGCAAGTGCTAACAAAATGGCGGAGCACAACAAATTCATGTTGCCGATAAGTTCTTAGGATCCCAGAAAAATATCATATGTCCTCAAACACGTGATCCCTCCAGCATAACCAGACTAAACAAGTATGGTTACGTACAAAGCACAATCAAGAAATCATGACCGATTATAAAACGGACGAATGTTCAGATGAGAACAAAAATTCTAGGTGGGTAACTAGCTCGATTTAGCGACGGACTTTAAAACCACCCAACCAACGATTCGTGAGGTCACAGATAAGGAAAAGATATTGAACACGCTATCACAAAATATACCCTAAACGGTAGATCATTGATTGAGAGAAGAAAATAAGTAGTGACGGAGTTCACAGATTGAGAACGCGTCAATATAAAAGATGTAAATGGTTTGATAAGATAAATTTTAAAATCATGTAAATGATAACAAAAATATATACTTTGATGCATATTTAGCTTTTGAAGAGACGCTGTTGGAGATATTACGTTATCTAAAGACAGTGATAAATAGCGTTAAAACTAAACTTTCTCATTTACGAAAAGAAATGTGTATGGAGTAATGCCCCATAATAAGGATTAGTTTGTAAATTATGACAATTTACATTTAAAAATGGTTTTAAGGAGAAAGTCGACTAAATAATGAATTATAATTCTATCTTTTTCCCTGTCCTCTAAAGCGAATAAAGCGTTTTTTTCCAAATACATGTTATTTCTTTCATCATATTTCGAATATGAGGTATTTTCAGGGGATATGTCGAAAATAGTACTTTTCCCAACTGACACACGGATGATGGAAATATCCATACATGATTTTTGTTGCCTTTACCAAAACCCCACCTTCTCTTTGATCTACAGATTTTGATATTCTCTCGATAATAACGAGCGGGTTAAGTGAGGCTAAACAGAATGATATTGCATTGAACTTTGATTTGTTTATACTCGTTCTACCCTGCACATGTAATCAAAACGTTAATTGATAACTAGCTCTTGAGTAATTAACTAATCATTACACGTTTCTACGCTTTTTGCAACAGAAGTCCTATGATGCCGTAATTATTTGAAATGTTAAGAAAACTAGATATGTGATGAAAAAAAATCTTAAAACCACTGATAGTCATTAAGACAATTATTTTAAGCTGCCAAGCTGCATAAACATATAATCGTACGTGCAGTTGTCAGCGTTAGACTGGGGAGCTCCGCTATTTAAAGGGGTCTGCTCGCTATTTAGAAGGACCGCTATTTATATAAAAAAAGACCCCTATTAATTTAGTCTCGCGTTATGGATAGCGATCCTTATGAATAATGGTCCTTATGAATAGCGAGGAAAATTGTCTATGGTTTGTTTGCTATTTGTAAGGACCGCTATTATGGATAGCGGTCCCTATGGATAATGGTCATCATGAATAGCGGTCGTAGTAGTAGTAGTAGTAGTAGTAGTAGTAGTAGGAATTATTTCCGTATAAAAACATAATCCAATCCAATCTAGGAATTTACAATGCGCAATATTGCCTAAGGCGCTGATGAGATACGGTAGATTACCCACATTCAGCTTACCCGTCATGGGAAAGCTGGTCTTCCGTGGGTTCCGGAACAAGTGCATAACAAAATTATAAACACATATTTGAACAACAGTAAATAAATTGTCAAAGAAAAATATGTTATAAACAACAAGTATTTATAACAAGATAATGAGGGGGAGCCATGCGCTACAGTTCTGCAATCTTAGATTTGAATTTATACCAGAGGACGATTTGATATGAGGAGGAAGTGTGTTGTGAGGTTTTGCGTTTCTAGACTTGATTGAACTTTTTAGGTTATTTGTTCTCAGTTTGGGTACTTTGATTTTAGCTCCGATTCGGGAAGGGTAGGAACGGGTTATCAACTCAAATTAATTTCTCGAATATTCAGGGGTTAGATTATTCATAATTGTATTCATGACAACAAGGGAATGACTATTTTTTTTTCTCCAAGAGTTGTCAATTAAGAGCATTATGTATTTCAAAAACAGAGACATGAGATTCAGGTTTTATTTTTAGTATACTACGGCCTGCCCTATTTTGTTATTTTTGGAGGCGATCTGTACATTTCCTGAAAGCTGCACTAACATGACATCACTATAATCAAAATACGGATGGATCAGTGAGTTACATATTTATTTCAGTACCGATTCACTCAGGAATCACCTTAGTCTTCCTGGAAAGCCTACCATTTGACCAATTTTTCTTCAACATATTGTCTATATGTAAATTCCAGATTAAATTTTCATCAACTAAGACGCCGAGGTACTTGACATGATGAACTTGATCTATTGAGATGTCATTCAATGAAACTCGGAGGACATTCTGTTTAGATATCAAGTGGTTGCTGTTTTTTTTTTTTTTTACAGTTGACACTTAATTCAGATGTGAGAAATATAAAACAGTATCATCAGCATACAACTTGACATGACAAGTTTTTATTTTATTTTACTTCCTAATTAATATGGATAGCAAGCTTGACCCATTTGAAGGGCTCTTTGGTTCTCGACGTTTCGTCACTTTCTCTGATCGTCTTCGTGAGAAATAATCAGTCAACTTATGGTTGTCCTTAAAATATTCCTTAGGATTGCATGGTACCACAGTAAGGGCTGCAAGTTTGGGACAGAAAGGGTGAAAGAAAGAGAGACAGAGGGAAAGAGAGAGGGTTCGAGGAAGAAAGCGAAAAGGAAAGAGAAAAAGAGACGGAGAGGGTGCATGGGTGAGGCGATTGATGGGGAGGGGGTGTCTAGGAATGTAACAGAAAAAACAACGACACAAAAGAGTAGTAGAGCTTGTTGATGAAGTGCACTTTTTTGAAGCACCGAGATAAAGAAAAGCGTTTGTAGACTGGCAGATTATACCCTATGATTTGCAAACAAACTTTGCCTGCAATTATCTTACTCTGTAAACATACTACAGTGAAATATACAAGTTAATACACAAAATTGGATGTGAACTGTGAGGCCAAAAGTAAGTATAAAACCTTTGATCTGATACCCGTTTAAGTTTATGACACTCCCTGATTATCATGGGTGTCGATCCCGGGGGGGGGGGGGGGGATGGCCTGTACAATCACCCCCCCCCCCCAATAATTCACCATCACAACAACAACAAAAATGAAGAGAAAAATTAATGATGAGACCCCGATGAGAGTAGTTAATGGTTATTACTCGCAAGATGACCATCAATATACACATTTTGCTATCTCATTTTCATAATACATACATATACAAATAGAAAACGAATTAAATAAGACAACCGTATATGAAACAAGAATAAATTGAATTCTCGCTCGTACGGTTTCATCAGGAATTTATGGATTTATTCAATTTATTCAATCAACAGCATCATATAAATGCAGTGCGCCAAATGCAAAGCCGCAGCGTTAAAAACCAACGAGCTAAATATTAATACTGAGTGATAGAGAGTATACAGGCGCGTAGCCAGGGCGCGGGGCGGTCGCCCCCCCCCCCAAAAAAAAAAAAACGCCGGCAAAAAAGAGAGAGAGAGAGAGAGAGAGAGAGAGAGAAGAGAGGAAAGGAAGAGGACGTAGGAAGAAAAAGGATTAAGAGAACGGTACAGCGAATCGTCTTGTTTCTCTAATAACTTTATGAAACGTCAAATGAAACTAAATTTAGACAAGGATTAACAGTCGAGAATGGTACAACGAATCGTCTTCTTTCTTTAATAATTTGATGAAATGTCAGGGCTTCCGCGCTATGGAAGGGGAACTTAATTTGAACAAGGATTAAGAGTCGAGAACGGTACAACGAATCGTCTTCTTTCTCTAATAATTTATTGAAACGTCAAAGCCGGGAGGGGGGAAACTGAATTCAGACAAGGATTAAGACTCGAGAATGGTACAACGAATCGGCTTCTTTTTTTAATAATTTAATGAAACGTCAGAGCTACCGCGCTACGCGCGGAGGAAGGGGAACTTGATTCAAACAAGGATTAAGAGTCGAGAACGGTACAACGAATCGTCTTCTTTCTTTAATAATTTAATGAAACGTCAAAGCTTCCGCGCTTTGCGCGGGAGGGAGGGAGGGAGGGGGGGAACTGAATTCAGACAACGATTAAGAGTCGAGAATGATACAACGAATCGTCTTCTTTCTTTAATAATTTAATGAAACGTCAGAGCTTCCGCGCTACGCGCGGAGGTAGGGGAACTTGATTCTTACAAGGATTAAGAGTCGAGAACGGTACAACGAATCGTTTTCTTTCTATAATAATTTAATGAATCATCAAAGCTTCCGCGCTTCGCGTGGGAGGGCAAAAACTCCCCCTTCCTGTTCACCCCCCCCCCCCCTAGGTAGCGCGTTTCGCGTGCTCACTACCGCCTCCCTAGAATAAAATCCTGGCTACGCGCTTGAGAGGATAATAACCCAGGTAGCAAGCCCATGTGGGACCCACATGGGTCCCATATTCTCTGAAATGCTATCTTTATTGAGGGTGACTTGAAAAAGTTAATATCTTGAAAGGGAGGGGTGCAACCTGCCTCACGCTTCTACCTCTTGGTTGCTTTGATCCATTGCCGAAAATATTTTTGCACCTATCACCCCCCCCCCCCCCCACCACGGATACAAATCGACACCCCTGCTGATTATAATTGACATATTTAAGGAAAACAAACTCTAGACAATGTACGTGGTACGTGTATATGTATGAAGGGTTCATTTATAGAGGGGGGGGGGGGGGGGGTGAACTAGTATGATGGGAGGGGGAAGCGGGATGGGCGTCAGTCCTCCAGGTAAATTAGTATGGGAAAGGCATCTCTACATTATTAGGGCAGCTAAGATCTAGCCGAAGAAGTTTTATAGATGATGCCATTGGGCAAACTCCCTATCTTACGCATGATTTGTACACCACTTTGTGTCTACTGTTGTGGTACATTTCGTTTTAAGTGCGATAAGCATCTCTATGTGAATTGAAATAAACTCAAACGCCACCCCTACAGTATTAAACGTTCGTGTCTTATCTGCAAGGGCTCATTGGAGTAACTGAAGCCCAAATTTCGGGCAAGTCTTAAATTAGCACAAATCATGAGTATGTTTTAGAGTCAGAAAGCAGAAATCACTTCAAACAAAAAGTCCACCCTGATATGAAGTTGACGGAATATAAATGGAAACAGACAAAATGAGAGTAACAGGTCAGTGAAAGATTGAACATAATCCGATTCAAAATAGGAAAGTTACGATTTTTTGAAGCTGCGATCATGCAAACACAAAT